TTTTTTTTTCCACTGTATTGTCCCAAGACCAAAAAGAAAAAAAAAATCATGGGTGCCATTAATTAAAAAGATAAAGAAAAGCAACAAAACAAAAACAGTTCTAACACTATCGAGAAAACTTGGTTTCTAATTTCTATTTGAAAAAGGGCACTCGCTAAGCAAGAGAAAAGTCAAATCACAAACCAATATAATGATGCCTACTGCTTTGCTTTTCCCTCCTATTTCTCTCTCACGCATAGCTCATTTTCATACATACAGATGCAGTAGCAAGAACACATCGTCAAGCAATAAACTTCAAAGCCAAGGATAGTGGGAAAGAAAGGAGAAAAAGAGGCAATCTTTTTTACCCTCAAATCAAAGAAAGAAACGGGGGAAAGCAAGCAAGAATGCACAAAACCTAAAAAGTACCTACAAAATATTCGGCAGCTGTGAATCCAATCTCTGCTGCAACTCCTTGATCTTCATGGAAAGCTCTGTCTTCTGCTCCTTGTAGCTCTGCAACAAGTACTCCTTTCCTTCTATCACTTCTTTTAACTCTCCTACTTCTCTCTTCAGCATCTCAATTCTCTCCCCATCCCCCCTTCCCTTTTCAGGGGAGCCCGAATTGCTTTCCCCTTCAAGATACCCATTGGCATGGCCATTCCTTATGTCAGGTGGCCAAGCTGTAACTGTTGTAGTCTTCTCATTCGTGCCGACATGTCCTACACAATGATCTGCAATTGCTTTCCTCAGCCTTTGGATTTCTCTCTCGGAGTCAAACAAGTCTCTGTTTGATGCATCCAGTTGTGATTGTAAATGACTTGAGTGTGCCACTTGAGCATTCAGTGAATTCTGCAGCTCCATAATCTGGTCCTGCATCTCCAAAATCATATCATCTCTTCTCTTCAATTGTTGCCTTAGTTTCTGTATCACTTCCCGTTTGCTGAATATGTCAGAGCCTGATTCAGAGACACATGGTGAATCTGAGCAGTTAGAATGATGGAACGGCTTTGGAGGTAACTCAAGGCGATCAGGAGATGATGCCCACATAACACCATTATCCTTGTTGAACTCAGACGTGGGAACTGTCACCAGAGGGAGAGTAACTTCAGATTCGGGCAGTATCTGGCCATTTGGTGGGTGCTTCTCCCCCATGCTTTCAGTGCCTGTTTTAAACCCAAACTTAAATAAGAAGCTAACAGGCAAAGGAAAATATTAAAACACCCACGCTTTAGCTTTTACTATCCAAACAAACAAATCATTAGTGTATGAATCTAGAACTAGCCAAAGAAAAATTTACTGATGAATGGGAAGAACTCGAGTGCTATAGCAAACTCCAAGAGGCCCTTGTCTTCCAAGCATATTGTTAGCGATGGAAATAAAAATACCAACCTCAACATTTCAAAATTATGTTGTTCTAACTTCTCATTTTTTCTAAATTACCTGTGTTAGACACATATCAACACCTCAAGGCTCAAAGTTGGTATCATTAAAAATTTGGAAAAACTGAAGCTGCCAAGTATTTGTACTGGAAAGCAAGCAATTCAAGATAATGGAGAATCTGTAAAAACTCTGTCCTGAAGGTAAATGGGACATTCTTTCTTCTCTTTCCGGCCAATATATGACTACTAACACTAAAAAAAGACGTTTTGGAAGAGAAATTTTCTTTCTTCACTTTCATTTCCAATCACATGCTCCCTTAAGGTTTGACCGCTATTCATCTTTCCCTCCTTGACCAAAGGAATAGCGCAAACAGGTACACTGAATGCTAATTAGCAACCACATTGAGATATTTCATGTCTCACCACTATGAACTTCTGATGATGTCCTTATTTCCCCCTACTCGCCACATCTATCTCTCTCCCCCCTACCCCCTTTATCCCCAAAGGAAAGGAAAAAAATATCAGGCTTTCATACCAGTGCTTCCAGTTAAAATCCCCACCCCACTCCAAAGTTCAAAAGTAAAGCATAGAAAGAAAAAACCCTCAAGCAGTTGTTTTTATATATAACCTTTGGACTGATCAAATTTCCAAAAAGCCACATCACACCTGAAATGCAGTTGAAACAACCATCATCTTCTTGGGTAAACGAGAACATATTTGAATGTAAACGGCAACCTGATGATCTCCTCCTGTCAGAAGTTCCATGCCCTGTAACAAACTCTAAATTAAGCAGCAGTTACGTATTCAATACAATTATTGGAGCAGTAGACATTAGTATACCTTTCAAGCTAGTAGTAGCATTGTCCTTTTGCTTTGTGTCAAGTGCCTGCTTCAGCTTGTACCCCAGGCGGATTGATAAGGTACTTAGTAAGGCACCACCAGCAATAAGGATCCAATTTGGCCCCTCACCCTGAAAATTTTTTGACTTCTCACCCCTAGATACCCGGCCACTTCTTGTATTCATTTTAAGAACAAATGAAGGGTCAGAGGGGTAAACTCTGAATCATCCAAATATGACCTACAGTCACATGACACCAAAATGCCATTACTATCCATGTTGAACAAAAATTAGGTGAAATAGCATCAAGACAGTGGGGAGTTGTGCAGTGTCCACTATCTTCACAAGAAACAAAAGGTTCTTGTGAATTGAATTTGAACCAAAAACAGCAATTTAAAAATACTTAAATTGCATGGCTTTTTATTTTGAATTAGATCTTTCAATAAGAAATCAATATACAACCACCAGACATGTCACAAACTTTATAAATATAATAGATTGTGGCATAGTAATAAGGTATCCCTGGCTCTTAAAAGCATAAGCTTTGTCACAGATCATAAAACACATCCAAGGGTAGAATTAAAAAACCTTTCAATAATGTACACAATATTCCCATCATGCTAGACTTATGCAACAACCTGACCAACAAACAATGCAATTAAGCTGCTCAACTTACAACAGAGCAGGTTGGCCTTGCTAAGCAAAATACAGTCATGGTTACTGCTAAAAATATGTTGAAAACGAAAATATAAGCATGTGCAACATCTTAAGCATTAGTATGACATGTGCCAAACCCATATAATAATGCTTAAAGTTTTATAGTTCTCCCTTATTTAGGCAGCCAAGTAGTTTATGAACACTAGATAACATCTTAAAAACAGATGAACTAGATGTTGTACACCAAAAAAATCAGCATCCCACCAAAAATATACATGAGCAAGAACTCAGAGTGAGTTCATCATTTATAAAAGCACAATTCAAGTTCTATTATTTCGAATTGGTTATTGGATTTAATAATATATATTATGAGGTGTCAATCATCCATTCATAACAAAAGTAGACATATGAAATGAAGGACACTTATTTCATATTATCCTAAGCTAAATGAAAGAAAAATCTAATCGTTCTAAACCAACTCATCCGTTACATAGAGTTTGGATAAAAAAAACCAAAATGTACCATTAAATAAGATGGAAAGAAGCAAAGGTAAATCAGTAGATAATGCATATGCGAGAATAAGTTAAGACCAATTTGCCCAAACACTACTACGAAGCAAAAAAAGTATTCACATTTCTACAAACAGCGCAAACTTGTCTACATAAACTCCAATTTCTACACATTAAAATCTATATATTAATACCTAATGTAATGAAATCGAAACTCCAAGTTCTAATACCAAAAACATTATAGAATCCCAAGCTATCCATTTTTAAAACTTGAAAAAGTTTATTAACTTCTTCCATTAGCTGACATTTCTCTTAACACCGCCAATATTGAGGTTGACGTTTAAAAACATTTTCATTATAATTACTGAACCAATTAAACATATAACACCACAAAAATCCTAAGGCAACTAACTAAATGTTTAACCCCCTTTTTTTCACTCTTCTCCTTCTTTTAGTTATTAATTCAAGAAAGAAAAACCTTCCAAATCGTACAAAAAGAAACTAACATTACCTAAATAAAGAAAAACTACATAATGATCGAGTAATCTTAATCCCAAAAAACTCGATATCCATCAAAAGTAAACCAAAAGAAAAAATCGATGAGCCAAAAACACAAACCTCATTCAAGAAAAACTAGGGTTTCCTTCGACGGATTTCTCCTGAAACTCCCCCACGGCGTCGTTTTCGACAAGTATTTCCTTCTGTCACTATTCACTCCCTCCCTTTCTCTTACCTCTCCAGAAATGACAAGTACAGAGGGTTTTTCAAATGGCGGCTTTTGGCTGATAGATGATTTTCATTCTTTCTTTTTTTTTTTTTCCTATATTTTTTTTTTGCAGTTAGAAAATAAGAATAATTTTTTTAAAAAGAAATAAAAAAAAGTAAAGCTAGGGAATTTTGCCACGTCAGAAAGACACGTGTCGCTTTTACCTTCAATTGTTCCGTTTGTTTCTGTTGGAGTTGTTGCTCAAAATTTTTTTAATTGCAGAAAGAAAATCAAAAAAGAAAAGGCCAAGCCGCTTGCGGCTGAGCTCTGAAGGATTTGGCTGCTTTATTTCAAAAAGGCCAAGTGATTGGATGAGTTTGTGGACCAACAGAGCCAACGAAAAAACAGAAAAAAATGAGTGCACTTCACTCCAAATATAAATTCTCCAACACGTAAGGCGCATGTCCTGAAATTTGTTAATCATGACTAATTTATTTTGTGACAACTCAGATTTAGCTTAAAATAATTACACTCTTAAGATTTCCATTTTCTTTTTCTGAAAATAATATGTCAAAAAATTATTTAACGCATATTTTCTCTTTTATTTTGGTGAACAGAACATACCACTTTAAGATAAGTTTTAATAATTCACGAAATAAAATAATTATTTTATAAAAATAAGATAAAAGAAAATTAACTATTAATAGTTTAATAATTATCTCCCACATTTAATCTTGATTTTTCAACAATCATTTATGATTTTTTTTTTCTAAACTTTTCATGTATAAATGAAATTAAATATTTTACACTTAAAACACATTACGAGTTAAGTTTTTAAAGAATTTTAAACAATTTATTAAGAAGAAAGAGACAGACAACAGCAAAAAATTGCACATTTTGCATTAGAAAATAGACATATATCATATTTTGTATATTGTTAACGTTAATTTTTTTCGCTCTCATTGTTATGATAAGCACAAGCAATAAAAAGCAAAAGATGAAAATGAGGTTATTGTCTTTTCTATCTTTTTGAGCGAGGTCCAAATTTAACGAGAAAATATCAAAGAACAGAAAAATATCTTTAATATGGTGTTTTTAAACTTGATAATAATAATAACTGAAGTTATTGAATTTATATTTTATTATTTATTATTGAATTAAATATTTAAGTATGTTATCAAGTAATTAACATTGACCCTATCTCAAAAAAATAAAATAAAATGCATTAATTAAGGTTAGAGCCCCCCAGCCACACATTCGGTGGAGGGAATGAGTTAAAGATATTTATTCTATGGTTTGCACTTTTGTCACTCATCACTCGAAAAGGGCATTCACCACCCCGAGGGTTTGCAGCCGTACTGGTGGGTGCGTTGGTATTTGGTTATTTGTTGAGGATATTTTTGGCTTTTCATTTACAGTCTGAGGGAAGGATTACAGCTTCTTTCGGCATTCGTCTCATACCAAAATAATTTCTCGGATGTTGAGGCGTCTTGTCCTTATACACCAAATTAAGAAACAAACCTTTTTTTTTTTTGTTGGTTTGTTTTTGTTTTCTTGCCTTGTTGATAAAACTACCCAAAATAATCCACAGAGTTCAACGAATCCTTATCCAAGATTGACAAATTGGCTGTTTCAGTCCATGTATATGCCTGCCTACATATTTCAGCTTTGCCCGATCCCCATTATTCTTCTTCTTTTTTTGTGGCAAAATTTCCATTTTTTTTCCATTTTCATTACGAATTTTCAAACATATTTCTTGCTGTTTCAGTCTCTACCCCCTTTTCCTTTCATCCTTTCTAAATTTAGTGATTGCTTGGGTGTAGAATGGCTGGAATGAGTGATTATGTAATCCCCCAAGAGAAAAGAAACGAAAAGAAGTGGCTCTGTAGGTCAGACAAGGTTGAAAATAAAAGCCTGAATCAAGATTTATTAATGATGAAAATTTTACAATTCAGCATACATTTTATCGGTTGATTGTTTCTATTCTAAGAGCAATCAACAGTTCCAGAAATGAGAGGAAACTGCAGCCTCCCTTTATTTTGTAAACTTGTAATGTAAACAGGGTGACAGACACCCTTACTCTGACCTAAAGTTGAAATATGAAGGCAGTAAAATAATGGATGTTTCTCCTCCACCATCTACCAAGATTGAGCGCAGCAGTATCAATACACTCCAAACCTTTGGTTAGCATGGTGATTTACTCTGGTTTTTGGCAGGTAATGACAGCAAATTTGATCACGCCTTTCTGGTATCCTTCAATCATCACTGGCATCACCAAAGCTCCTTTTATGGCTTTTAATCCTAATCAACTCAAAATAAACCAAAATTAAGACCAACAAAAGAAGTTCCCTTCCAAGTTTTAACCCCCAAAGAGAGAGAGAGAGAGAGAGAGAGAACAAGCAAAACAAGGCTAAATGTCATTTCCCCAAAAGTGCAAGCATATGTGTGTGATGCGAGTATGGAACCGAACCTAGAAATCAACAAAAACTGTTAAATTCTTCTTCCCTTCACTTCAAACAATTGTGATAAATGAAAACTACCTTTATATATATATATATATATATTACTCATATGCTCCTATCAGCTTGTTTAAAAGAGTAATTGTCAGGAATATTAAAAATTGCAAGTAATGCTAGGCTTAAGTACCACTACGCAGCAGCGATGTGAAGCCCTTCCATGTCAATGCTGAGCGTATCACTGCTGGCCAAAATGGGGCAACATGCTGAGACCAATCAGCGGCCTTTATATCCTGCATAGGTTACAAGTGCAAAAGTTAACTGATTCCTCAATAAAGTGAGACTCAGACCTGATTGCTAAAAATACCTCATCCGCTCAGAGTTTTAGTCACTTTCAGTTGGGAAGATTATAACTAGTATATTTTCATCATACGTAAGTCAACTATTATATCTCATCAAAAGGTGTGCAAGCATTTGAATTGAATGAATCATCAAATTCGAGCAACGGTTTTAGCCTTTTCAAGGAAATAATTACCTGGAGAGATAGGGACTCAAGTAATTTGACATAATCAGCAGTCGAACACCACTCTGGTAAATAATAAGCATTACATATCCTGTTTAGCAGCTTTTTCTCCCACAGCTGCAAAGACTCTTCAGAGGGAAGGAGATCCCTGTGGCACCATGTCACTATTATTATTTTGCCACCAGGAGCTGCAACTCGCATCAACTCATTAACAAACTGCCAGTTTTGGAAGCAGAGAAGAAATTAACATACCATGCCATGTTATTTTCAAAAAATAAAAAAAGAACATAACAAGTCATATACAATAACAAAAAATTGTGCTAATAGTAAATTCAAGCATGAATGCCAGAGTTCCATTCAGCTTGACAGATCAAACTTAAATGTAATCTATTAATTGGCCAAACCTTAGCTTTGTCGGGCATGTGTTCTCCGCTTTCCATAGACCAAACTAGATCAAATTGCCCATCAGGGAATGGTTGCTTTAAAGCATCTGCAACTTGAAAAGAAACCTGCTAATAGGGCGCAGGGTTATATTAAGCATGTAGAAATATTGAGCCATCATTCCATCAAGAAAACTAAATATTTGCATAGATCACATACTCATGTTAGTGGCATGGAGAAAAAATTCACTTTCTTAACTGAAAACTATTATGAATTGATATTAATGTTGTGAATATAAACTTTCCTTATATATGGAAAGGAAAAGAAAAATAAAGGATTAAAATGTAGGGAACAGAGAGTTTTGCACATACTCTGTCTGCTAGCCCTTCAGCTTCAGCAAGAACATTGGCCCTTCCAGCTTGAACAGGGCTCAAAGTAATGCCTCGGCATGTTGCTCCATATTTCCTAGCTAGGTATCTAGAGCTGCCTCCTATCCCACACCCAACGTCAACTATTGTCTTGGGCCGTTTTGCTGGGTCGTCTGAAAGCCAATTCAGAGGTAAAATCAATTATTAGAAGTTCATCTTCATTCATTTCAGCCAAGACGGACCTAGGGCCATCTGTAGATCCAAAAATTTTCACATCTACAATAACTCCCTTTGCTTGAAACATCCTATTTTTCACTTCAACAAATACCAATGAAGGAATACCGTATGCTAGACCTATGCATCCATTTTGAACTCAAACTATCATTAAACTAAATTCATCAAGGGGAAAATATATCAACAGAGATTAAATACTCTCTCCGGTGCCATTGTTGCCATGATCTAAGTTTTACCAAGACAAAATAATCTGCATGTACAGGATCGACCAATCATGCCACGGTAAAGAACCATAACTGCAAAACTAATGCAAAATGTCAAATTAAGACAATCAATTAAGGCTACAATTGGTTGTTACATTCACTACTTACCTTTTCTTATTTATTACATTTTGCTTTCAAAAAGTTACTGAAAATCAAAATTATGGTATTAGATTTAAAAAAAACAAATGACTAAAATACAATATCGATTTGAACTTAATTATTGTATATAAAAGTAAAATCTTTCACGTTGTTCTCCAAAAGATAATTTTAATTTTAATTTTTAAAATCTTCCATATATGTTTTTTACTATTTACTGTCACCAGTAACAATTACATCATATCTAAGACGTGTATATGTTAAAAATAAATTCACCTAAACACACCCCCCCCTCCACCCCCCCCAAAAAAAAAAAAAAAGAAAAACATATTTGAAATGGTAAAAAGGATACATTCAATTTGAGCCAATCTAAAGGGAGACAATCAATTAAAATTTGCACCGAAAATACAAATAGTCCTTCATAGCCGATTGGGTTACACAGCTAAAAGACAACGACCCTGGGATGGCCAACCCGTAGATCGATATGTCAAATCCGAAAACAAATTTACAAATATTTACAAAAAGTATGATCGTGTACACGTTTTACTTACAGTAATTTTTTCTTTAAAAAACAGGTTGAATAATTATTTCTCTTTTAATTAACTCCTCATAAATAACTGTCACTCGTCATAAGTGTCTTTGGTTATTTTCTTGAGGTCCTGATGCTGACATCATCATTTTTCACGAAATAACGCTAAAATCCAACAACAAAACCAGCTGTCCAATAGAAAACCGACGCGTTTATAAAAGTACTAAAAAACCGAACCCGATATTCCAGCGAGACGGAGCGATTCTTCGATCATTCGGATCTGGGCGGATCGATGATCCGAACCCGAAACGTTCGAATCAGGGTCATAAAAGCCATGGTGCATATGGTCACCCCACATGTCTTCCCAAAGCCCAGACGACTCGTCGTAAAACTCCGCTATCCCATCCAGCAACGCACGTCCGTCAGACGTGGTCGAGGCAGCCGCGTTCACACGTATGGACATGAAGCGTGCGGGGGATTGGCAGGTGCGGGAGGAGGAGAACAAAACAGAAGGGCGTCGTACAGGAGGGCGTTGGCACGTGCGCGGGAAGTGGGGGAGTGGTGAGTAGGAGGTTTGGAAAGCGGAAGTCATTTGTTTATAGGTAAAGTCGTCCCTGTTCAGTTATGGTGGTGGCAGTTTCTCGATTTCAGGAGCGTTGGAAGGGTAAAAAGGAGAGGAGCGGTGGGGAAAGGAGTGGAGCGTTGGAATCGAGGGAACGGCAGACAGTGTGGCGGAATGGAAAGAAAGGGGGTGGAATTATGTAGTACAGTGTGTGGCGAATGGATTAGTGAGGTTTAGTGGAATTTTCCGTTTTTGGTGTGCTTATTTTTCCACCCATTTTGGATTGAAACAACCTTTTTTAGAAATATCAAAAACTTCAAAAAATATCAGATTGCTTTTAAACCATTATTTTTTTAGCTTCTTTTTTGTGAAATCAAATGAAATTATAATTATAATCAAATATTATATTTCATATAAGAAATCATTTAAAATATAAACTAATTAACAAATCAATATATAATTAAATAAATTTCACATAAAATTAAACCAGACTCACAAATGATAACACTTCAATTTCATCCCTTCAATACATTAAGGAAAAATCTTTGAATATTCCTATTTTCATTTGGCAACGTAACCATGCCTCATCTTACAAAATATTTAATAATGTCGTACAAAGAAGGGAGATTTAAAAGTGCAATGTACTGTTTGATAAATTGGAAAGTGTTAAATTTTTAGTTTCCAAAATTTTAAATATTGAAATTGTCATATTAAATTTGTTGGGTATGCAACTGAAAATTAAATATTGGGTAGATTAATTTTTATTGAATCATTTGTAATATAAATATATATGTGTGTGTGTGTGTTTTTATAAGTATTTTGCACTGATAATAGTTAAAAATGAGATAATAGTATTAATTTTTCTTTAAATAAAACTGACTTAATACATACATTAATAAATTCATAATGTCAGTACCACTGCCTAAGTTGGAATAAGGCAAATATTAAATGGCACCACCTCTATACACAGGGTATCTACTATGTAAGGTCCCACGTGCCAATAACAATATATGTGGAAAATAGTTCCAAATTTTATCAAAATTATAAGATTGAGATATCAATAATAAATTAGGGGTCAATAAATAAATTTTTTATTTACTAAATCAAAACCCTCACACGGTCATCACATATAGTATAGCTAGTAACGAAACTCAATAAAAGTAATTAATATGATTAAACTCACAACCAAAAATAAACTAAATTGGACACATAAGAAAAACAAGTAACTAAATAATTACATTAATGAGATTATAGCGTACACATATTAATTATATACTATTAAAATAGCAACAGCTAGGAACTAATTTCCAATTAAAAGTGAAATTGAAGAGAATTAAAAAATCAGGAGTAAAATTTTCTTAAACCATTATTGGTAAAATTACAAAAAATAAAAAAAATAAAAATAGGACAAGAGTAGCATGGTTGTGATATTGATTGAAAAAAAAAAAAAACCCCTATCAAGTAGTGCCGACGAACATACCATGTGAAAAGGGATGACACTCAATCTTTTCCATCATTATATATAAAAATAAATATTCAAAGCAATTATTATATTTTGAAAATTAAAAATTTATTGAACTTAAAGTTATAGATAATAACAATAATTAATGGCCAGAAAACGAACTTAGATATGATAAGGTGTTGCACAAGCTGACAAGATTGCAAGTTTCCTATAAAACTTGTACACTAGTGATGTTGACTGTTGAGTGTGCTGACTGCTCACACACCCGTCAAAAATATCTCCCACAAAAAAACAACAGAAAGTTGGGAAATTTTGAGCTACACCAAACTTATAATATAAATATATATAAATGATATAAAATTAATATTATAGTATTTTATATATATATATGTGTGTGTGTCTGCAGTCACATGCACAAGACTAAACATAAGAATAACTAAAGATATATTATCTATTGAAAGAAAAAACCTTCTACAATATTCTAAAAACTATATATATTTGGACTAGCAAAATGAATATATGCATAAGCCATGCAGCGAGGGTCCACCGTATCTTTTCTACTGTTAAAAATGTTATCGCATTTATTGTAAGACAATATGATTATATTGAGTAAGAATGTTGTCTGGTAGGAAACACCGACTGCCATAATTAATATTAATGCATGGCATTATGGCAACCACCTCTAGATAGCATATTCTAGTTTCACCTTTTTAAAAAAAAAAAATAAACAGATGAGAGATTAAGGAGATTGGAATATTGGGTTTCAATCATTTTGAAAAAAAATTAATAATAATTAAATCAAATTTGAATTGTTATTTTTCCTATCTCATAATACAATATTATATATATTAAGATTACAAACTATATTAATGATTTTAGGGGAATTAATTAATGAATGAATTATACATCCACTAAATTTATTTATAAAGAGAATTATAATGGTTAAAATTTAAAACATTATTTTGGAGATTTTAGAAAAATAGATTTTGAGATATACGAGACATAATTTGCAAGATAAATAAAAATTATTTTTCATTATATACGTAACTCAAGATTTATAAATATCAAAAATGAATTGGTAATCATTTAAAATTTTGACTAATTTATTTGTCATGATTATCAGCTGATTTGCTGCAGCACTTGGATGGCTGTGGAATTTCTTCGGAGAAGAAAATCAAGTTAATAATTATCTATAATAATTATTGAAGATAAGTCGTTGAAAACAATGTCTTGGTGTTCAGGCGTGTTTCACGTGATGTGGTCAGAAGATACCGCTGTAGAAGAAAAAGAAAGCAAACGGTAGTGATGATGGTGACGGACATGGAAGCAATTTTGGTCCAGAATTTAGGCCTAATTTCCAATTAAGTCGCAATCATGTCGTTAAGAAAGTAATTAAAGTTTTAACAAGGGGATGGAACATTCCTTAACCCCAAAGTAAGATTATGTCGACATTTAGCTCTACATTATAGATCGGTGTTTTACCGTGGCACGTAACTAGAACAGAATTCCACAAAACCGTTCAACACGGAGACTTTTCCACAGCCATAATCCATTTGTACACCCTTCACCATCCACTGTTTAGCCAGTACAAACTAATTTCAACAAAACTGAATATGGCAAATTAAAGTTGATGTAGGGTCCATGCTAAGCCAAAAATGTCAAACATGTAATTTCTTTTCATTAGGGAACTTGAAGAAAGCCATTTAAGTGATGTTGTTCAAGTGTTTCCCAAAACTAATTTTTGCAATCTTTTTCATTTACCTGTATTTAAAATTTAATCCTCTTAATAAAGTTATTACCAAATCAGCATACTTTAAATTTTATATTGGACCTTGAGCCTTTAAAGAGGGTCCAATGGCCAGGCCCATGCTGAGGATTTTTCTTAAGGTCATAGGCCATAGCTGTAACGTCTTTGTGGGCTCATGGCTCATGACCATCGTTCCGTAGATTTACATCTCCTTTTTCTTTCCTGTTTTTTTAACATTAAAATTTTAAATTCAAACCCTTAAGCTGTCTTTGTTATAACTAAATGAAGAAAGGGTGTCTTTCTTCTTCGAGGGGAACATTCCAAATCCAAGGAGAGTCCTTTTATATTATTAAGGCAAAATTTGTGTGGGTTTCAAAGGCTGAACGAATGGCACAAAGTGCTTCACAAAATCAATTCATGGTAAGCAAAAAGTATCAAACACGTGGCATTGACATCAAGGCCCCATTTAATAATGTGGAAGAAGCCCTTTTGAGGGACAACTAAAAGCAGTGCAGCATTTTATGTTGGCCACGTGACAATTGCTGTGATCAAATTTTCTACATCACAACAAAACCTTGTATTCTCTATGAGATAATGGCTGGGGAAATTACTCATAAATACAAATGGAGGAACCAAAACAAACTGCACCCTCATTTATGTCCAACAGCAAGCACATGCTAATTCTTCTCTCGCTCTTTTTCCAATTACCAGCATATAATGATTCAAACCAGAACAAGGGTATGAGCTATTATATAGCAACCGGGATGGAAATGTTATACATTTGTACCAACAACCATAATTCCTTCATACCCATAAGTTGATACCTTGTTAAATAAGTTCCAAACCCCAATGGAGAATGAATCAACAAAGTTTTCATCCATCTTTTCGGCAACACCTCATTAGAAGAGGAAAAAGGCCGCTGCTTAAAGAGAGTCCCGACTCTTTTCTCATTTGGTATGAACATCAATTGCAACAACAACAACAACCAAAGAAAAACAAGAGAGAGACATCTCATTAAACAATTAATGGTACTGCATAACATGCCAAGGATCAGATCCCAAATGTAACCAGCTGAACAAATAATAAATGAAGAATTACATATATATATATATATATATATATTGATAGCTAGCAATACCTATTGGATTTACTGCCAGAGAGAAAATACCTCTTCTCTAAAGCATGATCAGATCTAGGATACACAAGACAAATTCAACATATAAATAAATAAAATAAATAAAATGGAGCAAGAGTGCATTGACATACTAGTAAAACAGAATTAGGAAATACCACTGCACCGTGCAGATTTGAATTTAAATTGCATTTAACTTGTTTTTCTCCATGTACTCTTGCATCTCATTCACCCAAAGATCAGCAAACTCACAATTCTTCCATGCCTCAAACCATGGTCCTCCGCGAGTATAATGTACAGCTTTAGGAAACGTTGTTGAGTCATTCTCAACAACCTTGTTATGCCCTTCGAGGAAGTTCCACACAAATGGGACTGATCCAATTTCATCATCTTCAAGCCACTGAAACCTATGAAGAAAAGCACCTGTTTGCTTGTTCACAACCTCTGGAGTCAACCCCTTGTTCTTTGGATGACCACAATTGTACAACACCATAGAAGACCAATTCTTCCTTGGATACACAGTCTGCACTGCACCATCCATTTTTGTGGTCTCTTTCGGGGAATAGTCATGATGAACACACATGATTGCGTACTTATCATCAATCAACTCTGTTAACTCCTTGATATCAGCTAAGTAAAGGAAATCACAGTCAACAAACATTGCCCAACCATCATAATTTGCCAAGTACGGTGTTAGGAACCGTGAAAAGGAGAACTCAGTGCTCTCCAACTGTCCCCTTTCACGCCAATAAAGGCCTTTTTTCCTAAGATCTGACTGAACAATGGGTGTGATCTCAACAGGAATTGAAGAACGCTTTAAGATAGAATGCCGACAGACCTCATACGCTAGATCCTCACGTGGATCATAACCGACGAAAATCTTGAAGGTTTTGCTTACATCCCCATTGCTAGTCACTTGTTGAGCATTGCCATTAGGCAAAGTCATTTTAGCAAGCAGTCTTCTTCTACAACAAAGATCTGCACATTTTTTATAAGTTTATTTCATTTCAGTTAATACAGTAATGTCCATAAACCCACATACTCGACAACTTGTAGAAAAGGAAAAAAATTAAAAAAAAATGACAATTTTCTCTTTTCTTGACTGAAATGGGTAGTTTTCTCAGGCCAATTATAAAGAATATGACAATGAAATTCTAATATTGATGTTTTTCACTTATTTTTCTATAGCAGAATCTTGGAAAACAGACATAACCAAGCCAGGGAGTTCAAGAATTGGGTTACATTGGAGATTACTTATGCATCGACTAATCTAAAAATAAAGCGTCAAACTTGAGTACATCTAAAGCAAAAAGGTTCATAAATCAAACGAAAATAGAGTCGATTAATCCAGTGCTTCCAATAAATTAAACAAAACATAAATAAATAAAAAACATAAAACCCAAATTAAAAATCAGAAAAACTGTCCATAAAATCAAAGAAAATGTGACAACATTAGCCCAAAAAAAAAAACATCAGATCAGTGACATTGTCAGCTTAAACCCAGAACAAGAAACAAACAAACCGCAGTAACAAAAAAAAAAAAACAGAGAACCCGAAAAGCAAAAATGACGAGAAGGAGAAAGATTGCCTGGGAGAACAACGAAACGTGGATCTTGAAATTCTTGATAATGGAGAAAGAATAAAGCGAAAAATAAAAGAATCTAAAGAATAAAGGAGAGGTGCTGCATTTACTTGGTGATTGACTCCTGCAAGACTATTTATAGAATCGGGAACTTGTATTCGTAACCCTCGAACTAGATTTGGCTCAAAGGAGATTTTTAGTGAGAGAGAGAGATTTGCCTTTGAGCGTAGGAGCGAGGATTTAGCGGTGAAACGAGTGTGCGGTTTTTACATAGAGGAGGGAAACCAGTTATTGTTTTTCCGTGTTGACGGGTGAAGACATGAGTACGGTGTACAACACTGGCTCATCTGCCTCCACGTGGTCTTGTCAGCTGGTTAATTTATTTACGGATACGCTTTTACTTTTGACACATGTAAATTTCTTTTATTTTTGCTTTTGATTTATGCCAACTGAATTAAGAAGCAGAATTTTTTAAATCAATTGGCATTTGCCAATAATATTTAATAAAATACATAAAAATCCGAAACTAAATGATATTTCATATAAAATCAAAACGTCTCTCTACGTCTATCCCTCTCTCTATATAAATCCGTGACTTTGTGTACTGCACATGTACTAGTGGCATTTTGCTCTTGATTATCCCAAAAAAATAGATAATTTATTTATTTTTATGTTTATAATTATGCAGACATTATGTAAACATTTAAATCTGTATATGTTTTAAAAATTTTACTATTAATATATAAAATAAATTTTCAAGTAAGAAGAGCTAACTTGTACTCTTTCATAAAACTCACCACCCTTTTACAATGGGGGGATTTAAAATTTTTTATATATTACATATAATTTTCAATAAAAATTGATTAACTCCATCTCTACTCACATTATATATATAATATTAGAAAAAAAATAAAGGACTAACAATGTCCTCTTTAAATCATTTCATTTATGTATTATATTATTATAATATATATTAATAATAATATAAAATTTTTTGATATAATCGAATTAATGGATTTAATTGGATTAAAATTTTTTTGGATCAATTCTACTTTGCCTTTCACAACATATTCGATTAAAATTTTTTTTAATTGAACTAATCCTTGTACAATTTTATTAAATATTTGCTTGCAAAAAGAAGTTTTCCTTTCCTCTTATCAAAGGGCAATCATTCATAAAAATAAAGAAAAATAAAAAAAATTCATAAGGTAGCAATAATTTTATCTTAAGTTAAATTTTCAGGATTTCTTCCTGTCTACAAATCTCTAGGATTAGCTTTTACTTTTGGCGTATACCAAAAGAACAAAACCGCTGCCCAGCATGTACAAAATAATAAATGAAAACAACAAAATTGCTGCAACGCGGTAAAAGAGAAAAGGATCATATGATTTCCGTGCACTTGCCTGTCGCCCAATCCAAGAATATTTTTTGTATTTTCCACTGAAATTTTCTTGCGCCCAAGGAATGGTGACTTCCACAGAGATTTTCTTGCTAGCCAAACTGTTTCTGTTTTTCCTTTTCACTTAGCTGGCGACTGGTTTCTTTTGATCAAATATTAAACTCTCTTTTTAATTGGCCGCTCAAATAAAGGAATATTTTCAAGAAAAGCAGAAATCAACGCCAGCGAGTACATAGATTTTCCATTAGCCAGCGCGTGTGAGCTTCTTGCCATTAGTTTGACACGCACCGACACAATGTCCTGGATGACATTCACGCGCATAACACAGGCACCACACGCTTCGTTGGAAAAACTGCAGCCAAATTGTAGTTTGTAGAAAAATCATAGTTAACGATAAAAAAATATTTTCAAATATTTTCTTACTCTTAATTTGTGATTGTTCTTGAACCAAAATAAAATTATAACATTAAAATTACACGCATTTAATGATAATCATAATTATATGATGATCATCATCTTAAATAAAATATTTTTTTACTCTTAATTTGTGATTATTCTTGAATCAAAGCAAAACTAAGATACTAAAATTACATTCCTTTAAAGATAATTACTAATATATGATCACCGTCTTAAATAAAACGATAAATTTGAAATTTATCCTAATTTTATTTTAATCAAAAGGAATGAGATAAGCTAAAGATAATTTTCCTGTCTTGAAATATTTTCAAAGAATTAACTACATTGTTGCAAGAGAATCACAAGATCAATTTACATTTCCACAAAAGAACGACAAATTTAAAAAATTTTAACAAAGCAAGCAAAACTTACCTACAAAGGTTTAACACACCAATATGTTATAGCCCAAAGGCCACCCTTTGGGCAAAATCTGGTCGTCTTTTGGTGGGCATTCGAAGAAGCCCTGTGATTTGGAGCTCTGTTACAGCCCTGCAAAACCGTGCTCTGTAGGAAGAAATGGTCAAGGATTCTCATGGATGCTCATTTTCAAATAGGATCTTTACCTTGTTAGAAAATTTAGATAACAGCGAAATAGACCCGAATCAGAGAGGCAGTGTTCAGTGAAGGCAGGCTATATGCAGGTGTTCTAAATTGAAAAGTAAAATACCAAGACCTTGTACCCAAGGGCTCCAGCAAAATGCATCAAAGCTGTGATGATCAGTAATAGGGCAATGCTGCAAGCAAATTGGCTACTCCAGGAACGAAGCCTATGCTGAGCCAGTTTATTTCATAATTTCTATAGTCGCATAAACGATGTAAGACAAACAGTAGACACGACCACAGATTAAGATGGATGATATCCTTAGAACCAGAGATGATGAAATCATGGCAAATAAAATGAGTGCATTAACAACAAAAGGGGCAATGCATTTGCTATTCTACAGAGGTTTAAACCTAATATCTGGCAAACATGTCTTAAGAATATGATAACCACATGCACCCTGTAAGGAAGCTACATATCCTTTCATTGACAGGTGGTCATGACATTATACAAAGCGCCGCAGGAAATAAGATCCCAGGATGAATATATAATGAGATTATCCACATGGACTGAGTTGCCTTTAATCTAAACAGCCACAAAAGATTTGTAACAGAAGCAATTAAGTGAAAAGAGCATAATTTCTACAAGTTCAGCACTACTCAATATATAATGTATCCTGCTCAGTAATCTGGCTACCAAGAAGGCTTTGTCTACTTTGTTATCGTATCTTAAAAGTAAGAAATTTTATGTACCAAATATGCCTATCAATGCAACTTTTTGTTCACTCAATAGTGCAAGTCTGCATCTATAGTCCAACTGCAATGCATGCCAAAAAACTATTTGCATCAACTTACTAAAGTAAATCTAGAAGAATGCTACAGCAAAGGATACTGTATGGAAGCTTCACTCCTGTTTTCTGATTCATTTATATCTTTTCTTTTCTTTGGTAATGGGGACTGCCTCGATTTCTTTTTACTACTACTTGGGCAGAGAACTACTGATTTGAATGATTGGTACCAGTCATGGAGATTGATAAGATCACCATGCTCCTGAGCTAGGTTATACCTAAAACCACACAAGATGGCAATACAAAAGTTTCAACAAAGATGAATTCTATGTCTCAAAATAAAAGAAACATGGTTACATATAACTCCAAAATAGCCAAGCCGGTATTATTGGTGCAATAAGTACATGGATATGTAATGGGACACTAACAACTAAAAACAGACAGGTCTGGAGAAAGTAGGTTAAGGAAAATGCAACTCTTAAGATCCTCCACCTCATAAATCATAATCAACAATAGGCAAAGCTAAAAAATAAAATAATGGTCCTGTAACACCCATAAACACAGTTTTCCAACTTTATGTTTTTAAAGAAGGAAATTATGCATAACTTCTCAAGTGCTAAATGGGAAGGATACATAAATTTATTTAAATGAATGGCTAAAGATGTGAAAGCATTGACATTAGCACCCTTTTAGAGGATGGATTAAGGTCAACATTAAATTATCTGAAGGGAGGGAAGAAAAAGGAAAAAAAGCGCTAATAGTTTCTTCCTCCAAGTATCTGAAGTAACTAATACAATTACAAACAGAAGTATGATCTAAAATGTCTGAAGTCTCATGGAGAACACAACTCAAATAGGGGAAGGAAGGGAATGCATTCAGCAGCAGATCTTGGAAGCAGTGAGCTAAAACAAGCATACAACTCAAAGAGACGTTTTTGATAGGTGCTGCTGAGAATTTAAAATCTACCATTTATCACCTCATTAGAGAGAAGAACAAAGAACAAATTATCAGTCAGGAAAGTCATTGAAGGTCTAAAATGCTTAACAAGCCATCAACTACAACATTTGAGGGACCAAAACAAAGGGTAAGAAAAGATCCAGAAACCTTTTTCATTATCCTATTTAAGTTCAGCATCAATAAAATGAGCAGGTCATGCAATCTAGACTCAAATGAATGTGTAGAAGCAGAAGGACCAAAAGGATAAAAACTAAATCCAACAGTTTCAAATATTTGTCCATGACTCACAGGTGGTATTGTTTGATATTACTGAGATGGCAGTCATCAACAATTCTGACATTAAAAGTATGAATTCAAATATGCCATGGCTATCATTAAATTTATATAATCACTCTTCTTTACTACAATATCTACAAACGTAAAAATACTTACATTATTGATGTGTCATGCATAGATGGTAATAGGGCATTGCTGCCCCTGATGCAGCAACTACAGTGGAGAAGCTTCTGGAATTCGAGAAGATCAACTTGAATCCTTCTTCTCGGGTCTCCAATCAAAGCCTAAAAAGAAGTCAAAATATAGAACTTTAAAAAACTACAGTTTAAATTCCAAGAACTTCTAAAGTGGAAAGAAAGTTAAACTTCATTCCAAACAAGGAAAACAAGAAATCCATGATGCTATACATTAATGCTTATAAAAGTTCGTATCCTTTTGTGATTTGCAGAAATATGGAGAGGTTTTTTGCACTTCTCAATCAAAGGCAAGGTCCATTCTATAGTCATTTACTCTTTTATATCAGAGGAAAATCACAAACACCCACAAAAGATTATAAACAAAAAAAAAAACTCTATCAGCACTCAATAGCTCTGCTATTTTCATGCAAACATTAAAGGCTAGTTTGTTCTTTTCAGAAATTTTCATGAACCAAAGGATAAACCTCTAGAATCACAGCATTCCTGCAAAAAATTTAAAACATATATGAACCAGTTCTACAAATAAAAATTAAAACACATCTTTAAAAATTAGGAGCAGCACTTTTGTATTTGTCATCTATTGGAAAGAGCTGGAAAGATTGATTTGGAACTTGGAAAGACCATCTGAACATGT